GGTGCCCGCTGGGCCTTGTAGTCCCGCGGCTCCCCGGCCCGCTCCCTGCCTCCGCGTCCCCGGGTCTCGCGCGAATGGAGGCGGTGGGTCCCGGGTTCTCGGTTGCCTGTCCCCCGGCTGTCGCCTGTCTGCCCCCCTGGGCGAAGTGAGCAGCGGGACGGAGAAAGGAACCCGCCCTCGCCCTCTCAGGACTTTGCCCCTCCCTTGAACCCTGGGACTCACCACCAAGCCTCAGCCTTCCCGTCCCTCGCGCATCCCATCCTTCCCGCCGGACGGTCCAGCCGAGAGGCCCGGCCGATGGTCCAGGGCCTTTCTCCTCCCTCTAGGAGCAGGGCTACCGGGACCCCGGAAGACGCGAAGCCTCTCCCCACCTCCGGGCCCCCGCTCAGCCCTAGTCAGATGTCACCTTCTCCCGTGTTGACTGAGTTACTCCCCACAACTGCCCTTGAACAGCCGCCTCAAAGGTCCTCAGCTGTCCCTTGCTCCCGCACGAAGGCACAGCCATTACTGCAAGGTGGTGAGCCTGACATTTGTCCCAGGTGTGGCGTTCGGCTTCAGATGCTTGTTGGCTACATGGCTTGAGGACGGAATCTAGCTCTCAGTGTTCTGTGCATTTTTTAAGGGTTTTTTTCATTGAGACACAAACGAAATGTGTATGAAAAAAACTTAAATGTATTGCCTCATATTTCTATTACAGTTTTTGAATTCGAAATTTAGCTCATTTTGATCCTCAGCAATCCTGAGGAGTCAGAGTGGGTGTTACCCGTTTTAAGAGTAAGCGCAGAGTGTGGGTGACTTGCCCAAGGTCCCCCAGCCAGTGAGTGCCACAGCTGAGGCTTGAGGCCACACTTTCAACACCCAGGCCAAAGATTTTGGCCAGCTTCCCATCCCCGCGGAGTTAAACCTTTACATATGTCCAGGATTGAGGCCACCTGCCCGGAACTTTGGGTTCATCCCCTTCTGTCTGGTAGTAGTCACTGTCCTAATTCTGCCAGAATTTTCCTCCTAGATCTACATATATGTATGTCTGGAGCCTCCCAGACAACTGCACCATGTGAGTTTTCTCAGATGCTCAGAAGATAGATAGGAGGTACTTAGAGTAAACTTTACATAAATATATGCACTATTAATACTCTGTTTGTTAATAACTAGTCTTTGGCTAGAAAGACTTGTCGGAGGAGCACACACAGCAGAGTTAAGAAAAAAGTATGGGGATCTTATCACAAGGTTATCCCCATACTTTTTCCTGCTAACTCTGCTCCACAGTCTCCCCCACCCCCAAGTCTTTCTAGCCTAGAGGCCCCAGCTGCTCCCCCGCCCCCACAGCCCTAAAGACTAGCACTTCAGTTCGGAATTCACAGCATATCTGATGCTACATCCCAGAAGTTCTGCCTTAAAACCAGCTTCCGAGGAGCAGGAACTACCAGGCTGTGGAAAGATCATTGTGTGAGAGTTGGAAACGAAATCCTGGAGAAGGCCGAGCTTTAATTTTGCGTTTTCCTCTACTTATTCGTGTGTCAGTAGTCGTATGTTACAGAAGGTAGGGTGTGGGTTTTTCCCCAGTCGTTTTTAGCTATCACAAAAGTTTGGGCTGAGATCTTGTATTCTGTGACTCCCTACCCAACCCCACCACGTCTCACCACAAAGCTTGGCAGATCTCACTTCCAACAGCCACACCAAATAATGACGAGGGGCCCTGTGCTGAAACTGAATTTTAAGATAATCTGTTCTGGGGTAGTCCGTCTTCCTCGGATTCACAACATGCAAGTCTTTCTTCAGCTCTTGAGGAAATTAAACTTGCCGGGCAGTTGACTACGGAGCTCGAACATAAGCCACAGGGAAGGATGTTACCCCATCGAAGCTTAGATACCTAATCCATTTATCGATCTATTTTCCACGTTTATCAAATTAATTCCAAGTTTCTCCACCCCCAGCACTGTCAGACTTTTTCCTGAATGTCGTCTTTTATCAAAAGAAGCGGCAGCACAAAAAAGGCTTTGCTGCTGACCGGAGGCGTGTGCCATCCACATCCACCTGCAGGCTCGGGGACTTCGTAAGTGCCTTGATCATCACATCCTTGAATAAAACTTCTAGCAGAATTTTGTCTAAGTCCATCTGACATTTTCATTACCCGATAAAAGATCAAATGTGTGAGACGTTGCTTAAAAAGTATTGTGTAAGAGTGCAGGGGGCTATGTATACTTAAGGAGGCTGTGTCTCAAGCCTGAGTTTTTCGGGGGTGGTTCTTTGGCCTCTTTGTAATTCAGGAGTTAGTGGCTGTTTCTGCTAAAATTTGCTTGTTCCTCATAAGACCACCCAAAGGTTGGTTATGTTAACTTGACCACTGCTTGGCACACAGTAGATGCTCAACAAATATTTATGAATAAATGATAAAAACTGATGATAATGCCTACCGGCTCCCTAAAGGGATGGCTGGCAGAGTCCGAGATGCTCGCAAACATCACTGAGTAACACACTAGGCCCTGTCATTTCCCTCAGGCTACAGCTGTCACTCCCCTGGGGAGGCCTCAAAAAGCGTCCTTTTTAAAAAAAAAAGAAAAAATCCTTCTGGAATTTCCCAGACAAGGCTCTGCCCACAGTGGTCCTCCAGCCCCATGACAGGGCGAGCATGTCCACACCCTCTGCCCCTCACTGTTTTCCTGCTGGGGAAGGGGGAGGTGTCGGACTGGTCCCGGCTCCCCGGACACCCGGCCAGACAAGGCGGCCCGACACCTCAAGGCAGGGGTCGGGTCTGAGTAGAAAGCAATCTGACAATAACGAACGCTACCCAAACCAGGGACGTCTGTGCAGATGGTGGCCTTTAATGCTGAGACCATGCAGAGTGACAGGATAGGACCGAACCCTCAGAGGGCGGTACTGACCAGCCTCTCATGGGACCCTCAAACCTGCCGGGTACCAGAATCAGCCATTTGTCCACATCCGGCTTTGCCCCGGGCACCCGGGCAGGCCTGAGGCCCAGGGCCGCCCTCCCGCGCCCTCTCTCCCCACCTCCCCTCACCTCCTCCCTCTTCCTGCGTCCTTCCCCTCTGGCTTCTCCCCCCTCCGTTCTGCCTCCTTTCCGTCTCTCCTCGTTCCTTCGCCTTCCTCCTTTCTTCTCCATTTTCCCTCCGCTCGCTCACCTCGTATCCATCTCTACCCCTCCAGGCCCCGCCTGCCTGCCCCCCAGCCCCTCGGCCCTGCCCCCGTCAGGCTCAGCCTCCAGGCTTGGGGCGGGGAGGCCACCAGGCGTCCTCAGCCCAGGGAGCACTTGGCGTTCTTCTTGTCACCGGTTTTCAGGTCGGCGCTGGGGGGCTTGCCGCTGTTTCCCTGGAGGCAGAAAGGGGGTGCGGGTCGGGGCGAGGACGGCTGGCGGGGGTCTCAGGCCGTTCACTGTCGGAGGGGCGCGGGACCCATCCTCTCGGGAGGCTTCGCGCGGCTCCCCTCAGCGCCCCCCTCAGCCCGG